CAAAGTCTCGCTTGACTACTATATTTGAATTGTAATTGTTGTTCACAGTTCGCTTATCATCATGTTATTACTCAAATTACTGGATCTCATTTTGTCTCTAATAATTTTTTGCTTTATCATGAAAAATAGCACACCCCCCTGCACCCCCTCTGGCCAGGGCTAGGGGGGTGCACCCCCCAGTAAATCCATCCCTGAAAGTTTTCTGGGATCCTAGATGCCAGGATCTCCTGCTATGCTGCTTGGTTTCAACGGTTCTCAACATGCAAAGGGTTTGTGGAAACGACGTTGAAACCTCCCTCTGCACATACGACTGAAATGAAATTATATAATCAGACAAATGCATTTTACGGGAACTGAATTCTTCAAAATTTTGGCTCTGCTCACATTTCTACAGTATATATACCCTGCTTGGTTTCTGAGAGCAGAAATGGTCGTATATTTTTAGTGAATCGTCGACCATTGGGTATCGATCCACAACGTGGCACCGGGACAGCTTACGAAGGTTATGTGAAGGTTCCTAAACCTGGCGGAATCAAGAAAGGATGGCATCGACAGTTTGCTGCAATCTGTGACTTCAAACTCTTTCTATTTGATGCCATCGGTGACAGACAAACTCAGATCTCACAATCTGCCAGTCTCGTTATCGACATGAGGTAGGTTGAGACTTGCGATTCATTTCATGATTACCTCTGCCATTTTCATCCCTGTCTGTGCGTGTCTGTTTGTCTGTCACCACCGATAACTTAAAAACTATCAAACGTATTACAGATAAACTACGTGAAGCGTTCCTCTTTTGACCTCCTAACTCATTTGAAATTTTCCTCATTAGCTTTGCAAATTTGAAAACTCTTGAGGGAATTCCTTTGAGGGAATTTGCAATGTAATACGAACAGTTGTGGAACTTATAGACCCAAGGACAAATTGATTACATTTTGGGTAATTCTGGATGAAAATCGGATGAGAAATTAGCTCTGCCCGAGTAGATTGAATACGTAATTAGCCCTTTGTGTAATTTATGCAATGCAGTGTGGTCTCTGAGCGCCCCTTATTTAAAGTTTAACTGTAATAATAAAGAATTTTTTTCTGTGTTGGTGTTTTGTACTCAGGTGAATATGG